CATCTGAATGAAGCTATTTATTAACAAATACGGCAAAAATGTGGAGTAAATTGCGTGCTACATTTACTTATATAAATATTGAATATTTTATTGGGGTTGTTGCAGATAATTTTAATATTTTTTTTATATGCTTAAGTTCTGTTGTATGCTGATTTATAAAGCTTTTTTTTCTTATTCAAATATAAAGTGTGTTTATGGAAATATATATTATATGAATAAATTTTTTTTTTTCCATTTATATTATTTTCTTATGAATGGGCATTTTAAGAGTTTAGCACATTTTTTTTATAGATAATCTATCGGATTTGCTCTTCAATTTTAGCTATTTATTAAAAGTGCATGTTGCACCTTAATTTGTTCTCAAGAAGCAAAGCAAATATCAAATAGCATGCATAATTTTTGACGTCAAGTATAATCGTCATTTGCGTAATTAAGTGACATAAACAAAAACAACGCGTTTTTTTAGCCAAAAGAGTGAAAAAAAAAACTACAAGTGAGAATTTTACAAACGGGCGTTTTTTTTGGCAGTAATACTCATTAATCAACAAAATTCCACGTGCTTCATACGAAGCTTTTTTTTTTAGATTTTATTTTTTAAATATTTATTTTATTTATTTTTATAAATATATTGTACTTTTTTTTTTTTTTTTATTTATTAGGAAAACCAGACCATCTATTGCTCTATTATTAAGACATTTTTAACTCATTACAAATTTATACATATATACGAATTTTAGTAAATATATTTTTATACATCTACATTTATTGGTAGCTCCAAATCTCTGAAAGATTCATATAAGAATGGTGCTCGTGCTTAAATGAAACAATATATACATATATATTTTTATATTTGTATGACATCAAAACTCTAGTTTCAATAAAATGAAAATGCCTTAAGTTCCTGCTGACATAGCATAAAAACCAATATACTCTTTTCACTCTGTGAATCCGAGTACATACATGTTTGAATGTAAAGCTATATAGAATATATGTGTATCTGTCTTTAAATGTTTGTATGTGTATATACACAAATTCTAAAATGAAATCTATCCACTCACCTGGCGGGTGGCAAACGTTTCGTCGCTGTAATAATTAACAGGTGCAAAGGTGAGCAGCTTACGGTAGTCATCCACATGTGTTGCGCCCATGATCCGCAACAGTTTGGTCAGAGTGCAAAATGGCACGCAATTCACATAAAAGAAAAGAAAAAAAACCCGTTTGATCAAGTTGAGCATTTTCGTAGCTGTAGCTGCGGCCAGGTAGTCGCCAGCTGGACTCTGCCCCAATAAAATGTGGCACAGCTCCATGAGCCATGACGCCCGTTGCATCACTGTGAAAATCAATCAAGCATTGCTGCAACCCACTGCTTCATGTTTGAGTCTGCAAAGAGAGTTCATAAATGAATTACAGATGTGTATATAATAGATAGTAGACTCCATTATCAAAGTTTTTGCTGAATTAGTCATAACTAAATTAGCACAAGAGGTTGAAATCTATAATTAGTGATTAGAAAGTTCTGAGGTTTTTATGGGACTTCAATTAAAAATTGTATATATAATGCAACTTGATAAGTGAAATATATTATATATTAATTTTAGCCGATTTAAACTAATTACAAATATAGATATATAGAACTAGTTCGATTTAGCAGTAAACTAAATTGTTGAAAAAGAAGCAGGTATACAGCATGACTGAATTGCTACAATTATTCTAAAATATATTTAAATATTTTAAAGTGTTGTAAATATTAAATTTTTCAATAGAATATATGCGAAAATAAACTAATTTTCCTTTTTGAGTATTAACAACTTAAGTTGTTGATTATAGATATACAAAACCATTTATCGAACAGTAACCCCAAGGGCATATAATTAACTTACCGTTTACTACTTGGACTGGACTTTCGTATCGATAGTCATTATTATATCACAGCACATGCCTAAAATATTGTTTTTATTTATAAATATATAAAAATATTTATGTACATATTTTGTATATTTAATTTGTTTAGTAATGCAGAGTTTCACAAGATGCAGTCTTAGAAAA